GATCAGCTTCTTGAATCTCCTGATCAACACGATAAAGAAATAATTAAATGATAAATTAAATGAGTTGGACTAGAAATCTAAGATGGAGAGAAAAAAACAGCGATCATCCACAAGACTCCTGACGTGAGTTAAAAACTGAGTGTCGTCCAACTGCTGCAGACACAGCGGGGACTCCATACACATTCTGCACCTGGGGAAGGAAACACGAGCTCCGCTGATGAATGAAAGGGTTTTACCTGGCGGAGCGAAGAACTCCCAACGTAACTTAGGGTTGCTGGTTGCCAGTGGAGGGATGACACTGTTTGCAAACTCTAAGGCGAAATAAAAAAAAATGTGCAGGTGGAGGGAAGAGAGGGAAGAAAGCAAGGGAAGAGGGATGGAAATGATGGGGGATAAACAAAACGTCAAAACCAGGAGCCGGAATGGACATTAAAATAATTAGAGAGAAAACTAGTGAACCGCTTGTAAAGTCTTTGAAGAAGCTAAAATTTAGGGTTAAAGAAAAGTCAGTCATCTCATTCCTTATTAGTTCCTTTAAAATGTGTTTGACTTCACCTCAATTTCACTTAAGAAGACAGTGAAGCAGAAACTGCTTTGTGACAATAAAGCCTGATAATGGTCAGAAGTTATCAATAGCTGCTCTGTTTCTAACATCCAGCGGTAGCGCCAGGCTGGGGAAACACACTCATTTAAAGGGAGGAGGAGAAAAACATGGAGGTGTATGGAAAAGAAGCTGCTTGTTTGGTGCTTGTACGTGAGAAGTTCACTGACCTGCTGTTACTTCCTGTGTCGGGTGATATCCAGACGATCCTGGTGCAGTTAAGTTTGGTACGTTCTCTCTTCCCTGTGAAAACTCCTGGGAACTGGGAAAACTCGCCTGCAGGGAGATTTAAAGGTTAAACGTAGCACAGACGAGAGATCACAGCTTCTGTATCTGGTGAAGTTTGGTTTAGTTGGTAGCTGCACCTGCGAAGTTACTGTCTGACACTGCTGTGAGCTGAACCCTGATCGGACCAGAGTGGCGATGTTCGGACCAGATGCTTCAGGTTTAACGTCTTGTTTGGCTTCTAAAAATACAGAAAACACAAGTTTACCCCTAATGATAAAATCAAATGAAAAGCAGGAAAGTAAAGACACTTTTCTCCTCACAACGGTTCTTGTTAAAATTACAAACTTCCAACACTTGAAGTGGGCTGTAGAGTCTCTGAGTGACCACAGGGTGTCAGTGTGTTTCAGACCTGTACGTGTTGTTAGTTGAGCTGCAGCCTTTGAGTTTTTCTCCTCTGGAGCAGCTGCCGTCCGGTCCCCAGGCTTCCAAAAGCTTTCTTCTGGCTTCTGCAGTTCCTGAATGGGCCACCGGATGGTTTGAAATTTAATTTTCCAGGTCATAACTCCAGTTCAAGATAAACCATGAACAGCTTTGAAAGATGTTTAGTGCAGCCATGTTAGATGTGTTCAGCGCACGCACACAAAGGCAGATTTGATTATGAATATATTAGAAAACAGGGCTTTTTTATCGATATGCAGTTTGATATATTGTTTGTCTTGCAGATATTTACACTGGACCCAATGAATCACCATTTAACTATTCATTGAAAAGTACAACACGATACAAGGTGTCAACATGGCAACACACTGTCAGTAGTTTTAGGAGTTTAATCGTCAAATGCTGAGTGAAGGAGGGGCTATGTTCTGGGCATCTCTAAAAAAAATATTTTCATTATTTCCTTTTTCAAGAATCAAGTGTAATCAACAATAACAGCTCCTCATCCTGACCTCTGGAAGTGAGGTGGGCCGACTCAGTGGCGATGAATGCTCAGCGACTCTCTGGTCCCGGACGTCCTCGGGAGCTGCTTTGCTGCCGTCCCGTGCCTCCTTGGCCTTTATGGACGCCGGGCTTCCTCCTGCGGGGGAGGCGCGTAGACTGTGGGCGGGCGATGCTGCCGGGGAGGGAGCACCTACAGCGCTGTTGCTGGTTCTGGAAGGGGACGCCTGGAAGTGAGGAGGAGATTCCCTTCCTTGACTCTCAGGTGTGGTGGGAGCGTCGTCACTTCCTACATTGCCGTTGACTCGGAGCAAACCGTCCGCCTAGATCAGAGGAGGACGGGGATCACGTGAACTGTATTTGGGACTTGTGCAGTTTGGTATTAGATGATTAATACATTTAACATAAGCCCAGATAATACATTACATTCAGCTTTAAAAGCATCACTCTAACATTTGTGCAGATCTCCTGTCCTGCATTGACTAATTAAAACAGTAGGTTCTTCATCATGCAAATGAAAAACAGTATTAGCTCCAGTGCCAAGATGCAGGGAACATATCTGTGTGAATGAAAGAGTAAACAGCTCTTTACTGAGGAAATTCCTACATATGTCATAATCCTATATGTGATCATTTCATTTTTTAATTTCTTGTGATTTTCACCTCTGGACTTGATTTTTCGCAATGTTCAACATCGCTTAATAAAAACTTTGGTGAAAATGAACTTTCAGGGAAAAACATTCAAACAAACCCTTCAACTAAAAAAAAACTCGGTTTGCTCATTTGTGCTCATTACCAGCCTCTCGTCTCTGATATCGTCCATTCATGGAGCTCACTACACCGAGCCGGCCTCTGTGACAAAGACGCAGTAATGTATGTGCGAGGAGCTCCTATAGTGAGCGGTAACTTAAGACACAGTGGTGGAGTTGGGTGAATGCAGGCTCTCAGTCTGCACCCCTCCGCCTCCACCTTCTCATCCTAACCCTCGCAGCCTGTGTGGGCCGTCTTTGTCTGCTGGGAGCCCACTTCACATTGAGAGGACCCTACTTGTCAACTTCTTAAGTCAATAGGGAACAGAGGGCTCCATTCAGTGCCGGGCTCCGCTCAGACTCCCGACAAGACATTCCAGAAAAGCGCTCTGCTCCATTTGGTCTGATGATAACCAGTCCCCCCCCCCCACACCCATCTCCGCCACAACAAAACATGAGATCGCATTTTGAATATTTCCATTTGGACGTTTTTCCAGGAGGAGAGGAAACGGATCCCGTTGAGAGTACTTTGAGCTAAATTGAAACATTACATGCTTCTTCTGTGACGGGAAGTCTTGTGTCCTCCAGAGAAATCAGTCAGCTCATCACCATGGCGGTTCTTTGGCATTCTAATGTAAATGCCAAGAGAGACGGAGGGGAATTTACCCATGAGCGCGCGAGGAGCGCAGCCAACACTGGAAAGTAACCACAGGCAAAGTGGTCGAGACCTCGGCAGTGACCGCAACTGAACTGTAGCGCAATCATTTAATCAATCTAAGAGGAAAACGAGAAAATTAGGCATTTAAAATTAAGTCTCATTTCACCACGACAACCAAAGTAAAACCCATCACCGTTGCTATGTTTACACCTGCTTCGAACGGCGCCAGAGCTTTTCAGAGAAGTTTGGAATCGCCACTGGCCCCAATTTTATTTTGAAAACTCCAGGGCTGCGTTGTAGTGTTAAGTCAAAAACGTCTATGTTTGGAGAGGATGATGCAGTCACACACATGCGCTTCCAGTCAGTAACATTTCCACCTCAACTTCCTGTTACACACATGCCCAGTGTACACGAATGGTCACGTGATATGCGTTTTCAGGTGCGTTTGCACTGACAGGGATCTCAGAGCTGAAACACTTGGACAGAGATCTGCAAAATCCTGGAAGTGTTGAGAGGTTTACCTGACCTCTGTCTGTTGATATGATGATGAGCCTCAGCATCACACTCACCTTGTTGGCCCACGGTTCAGCCGCTCTGCCTCGGGACTCCAGGTAAGGCTTAGGTGTCAGCAAAGGCACCGGTTTGGGAGACAGGGTTCTGGTTGACGGCGGCTCAGACGAGCGCGAGCGAATTTGAGGCCGCTGGTGAGGTGACGACAAGTCTTTGGGAAACTCCTCGATTCGCGCCTCAAGCGTAGACGTGAACTTTGGAGCCGGGGCGGACTGCTGCCGCAGAAACCTCAAGGGCCCGTTGGGGTCCACGTCGAAGGGGTCTGGCGTCGTCGGGGAGGAGGAGAGGGAGAGAGGGAAGGGTGAGCAGGGGAAGGAGGGGTCAGCGGAGATGCTGCGATCCAGCAGCTTTGGCAGCTGCAGGCGTTCCAGGATAGTTTCACTGATGGAGAAACGCTGGGCGTAACGCTGCAGGATGGCGGACGCCTCCTCAGGGGTTCTGGCTCTTTTGTAGGTGTCCCGCAGCTCCTCCTCACGGCGCTCCCTGTTGACGTGAGGAAAACGAGTGCAAGAAGTTGGCTAAGCAGTAAAAGAGAACTTTGTCATACAGCAGCAGCAAAGTAGAAACATGAAGTGAAGCAAAGATAAAACAATAACTAGAGATCTATTTTTTCTTTCCACATGACTTCTTAGAGGAATAACAAGACAAATACCCGTCCTACTGTGTTTCACATACTTTTCCTCCACTATCTCTCTGTACGTCTTGATGCTTCTCCTCCTGTGGGAGGGACAAGTGTCTCCTGTCATCAACTGTTCCATCATCTTCCTCTCCTCCTCCTTCTTGATCAGGTCCTGAGAAACACTCCTCCTCCGATTTTTCCATCTTGCCAGGTCCTGACAGGTCCAAATGAAACACAGAAGGAGAGCTTGGGTTAGCAGTGATGTCAGATTTGCAGCACTGCTGCGGCTCTATTGAAAAATGCTTTAAGTTGTGTAACTGGGGCACAGCAAGAGGTTGCAGGCATTAAAAAAAAAGAAAAGAAGAATCACTGCTTGTATCTGATAAACCTTGGACACCACAGAGACAAGAAACACAAACTGTGCAGATAAGACACATCTCAAGGGACTTAAATGTTGTTTCACACCAGCAAGAAAAAAACCTCCAACAAATAAATACACAGATTAAAGTAATGTAAGACAGACAGATCTGAGACACTCACGTCCTGCCAGTGATCCTCCTCCTCCTTCATCGTGTTGTACTGATTGTGCATCAGCTCATGACGCACCTGACTGTGGGGCTGCAAGACGGCCTCGTCCTCACCACGCATGTCGATCATACTCACACTCCTGGGGAGGAGGCAGAGAGAGAGAGAGAGAGAGAGATAGAGAGAGAGAGAAAGAGAGAGGGAGAGAGAATGATGATGAAAAACTTCCAGAAAAGGACACAAGTTTTGTTTTAAAAAAGTCTAGAGATTGTTTTTTTTTTAATGCTGCTAGTCATTCTATCCATTTCACTCAACTCATCGTACTGCAAGTACAGTTGTGTTTGTTTGTGTGTTGGCCATTTAATCTGTGTCACACAATCTTGTGGACGATGGAAAAAAAAACACTGTGACCCTGAAACTTGACTCAAACATCTGAAGCTCAACTTCCAGTGAAAAAAACACATTAATCACAAGATTTGTTTTGTAGAAATCAATCGTGACAACTTTGAACCAGTGGCTCAGTATGTGACAAATGTAAAACTGTGCTTCTTCAAAGATACTCGTAACAAAAACTCCAGAAGTAACAGAAACTCCCATCCTAGTACAACTCCACTGTTAGTACTTTTTGACTCGTCACATTCAAACATTTTTTAACAGGAAATGCACAAACATTAAATACGTGAAGACAAAATTTAACAAGAACTTTGAAAACATCAGCTTCAGATGCAGGTGACTGTTGTTTTAAAGCGTTTAGTAACATTCTGATGTGAGTGTATGAGATGCAACATCAAGTATATTTCAAACAGACAAAAACTGGTTACAGAGAGTTTTTACACTGATCTTTGTATTTGAAGAGTCAGCAATGTTAAAGCATCATCGATTTACAGGTTTACAGACAGGGCAGTAAAATGCAGCCTCACTGTTAGGAGCATGCAGCTGGACTGGGTGTTCAGCACGCAATTAGAATGGGTTAAGTCATTTTATTCTTGTGTTAACAATTTCCCACAAGCCACAATTTAGAAAACTGAGGCTTGGATGCAAATAGATGGAGGTATTGGTTGTTTCAAAATAAAATAAAAAAGAAGCAGCATCAACCATTTGCTTTTCTCTGACACTAGTGGTCAAATGTTCATTTGTAGCAGGTGTAGATTGAACCTTGGATATAATGACATGTTATTTCTGTTAATAAGTTGAATTAGTGAGGTTATAGAAGTAGTGCTAAGTAACCATCTGCTCCTCTGTATTATACATTTATTTATTTACTTGTATTTCCGTCATCTGTGAGTAATTAATCGTCTACTTGTTTTTGGGAAGCTGCACTTTTATCCATCAGCTCTTCGCAGCACAGGACATGACCATGATAATATGCATTTCATTAGAGATGGGATGTCAGGAGGGAAGCTGAAATGGTTGCGTCACATTAAACATGCAGCTGGCAGAAGCACGGTTGTAAATCTAAGAGCCGTGTGGTTCAGTAAGTTCCCTCCACGGCCATTGCTGCAGGCAACGAATTAAATCGGAGAGGAAAGGACTGATTCCAGCTTCCTAACAAAAACAGATTCCTCGAAAACATCATTACATCAAGCTCAAGATTAAGGGCTCGGGGAAAAGGCTTAAGCAAACTGCTGAACTTGTTCGTCACAGGTTATTTCACTTATGATTCTATAATATTTTTAGTTAAGTGTCAAAGAAACATTATTAAAAGAGACTTACTACGACCTTAGCCTCAATGAACGAGACATCTGCATGTCTTCATTTCACTCTTCAATAAAGTTTTATATATTTATTCAGCTCATACAGTAAAAATGTCACCTACAAATTATTTTAACTGAGCTACAAGACAAATTCAAGCTCTAATAAATGATATTCAGCAGATAATTCCAGTGTTAGCAGCCATTTTAGTCATTATTGCAATCATTGTAATTTACAAAAAGATAATCAAACCCATGTTAAGTTGTAATCAACGGCATCAAGAAAGTTATTTCAATGACGTTGACCCTTCGGTAATTTTTTTCCCTCACAATTGATAAAATGATTTCGTGGAGTTGGGTTTGTTTGTTTTGTCGTGCAGAGCAGCGTCGTGCCAGGCAGCCGAGTGGTACAAAGACAACTTACTGTGAATCATCTGACACAATATCTGTGTGGCTGAATCTACAGAAGGATGGAGAGAGAGAGAGCATGGAAAGAGAGAGAGAGCACAATCACAAATGAACACAGATACAGTGGAATCGTCCCGGATATATCAAACAAAGTGGTGACAACGAGGTCACGAAGATAGAGCAGAAACAAAATATGCACCAGAGAGGTTTGATTTATAATAAAAGTGTGTCCTGTGGTTTGTGTATTTGTCAGTTCCCAGGTTTGTGAGACAGTGAGACTCAAACCAAACACAAGGGGGCAGTCTTACCCAAAACACAGCTGGAGCAGAGGAGAAATTTACTGCAGCACTTGCAAACAAAAACACTGCAGACGTTCAACAGACGTATTTCGCAAAAACTAACTGCAGTAAAAAAATAAGCACATGCATCTTTTATCCGAGCAACTGGACGGATGTGGCTTCTCTTTGTCTGTGACCACCACCACTTCACTCGGCCCCGAACCACAAAGGAGCTTCCTCTGTGAGGTCGGACGGGCGTGAGATAAAGTGCGGCTTGTGGTCGTTCGCCACATGAGTAAGAGGAGACTAAATAAAGAAAGACTAAGATGGCTATTTGCCATGTGGTATATGTTGTATTGAGGGAGAAGATGTCTGTCTGTGATACCAAGGGGTTCCCATTAAAGCTGAGTTCATTATTTTGCTTTGTTGTCATACAGGGAACGACCAGCGCAGACAAACAACTTAACAAAAGCACAGATTGTATTTAGATGCGTTTAAAGCAACACAACTTTTAACTGTAAAACAGCAACTGTACAGTAGTTTGATGGTTCTCTGACTTGGAACCTGAACGCCGGTTCTTGCTCTGTGTAACTTTGGTGACTGGGTTCGATTTCCTTCAATTGTCAGAATCAGGTCCAGCAAGTTAAAGAGCTGGAAACTTTGAAAATATGAAGAGTTTTATACGGTGGAGGCTCCACTGGTTTAGAGAGCAGGTGCTTATGGGTAATATCCACCTGTTTCAGTTCAGTGAGTGGGGCTACGCAGTCAGAGCTCCACTTAACACACTGATGGACTTTGCTTTTGTTTCCCTCTACATGAAAACAACTGAATCGCTCAGATACAGAGCCCGACAGAATCAATCACTACCTGCGGCTGCAGAGGGCGCTGTTGCTGAGTAAAAGTCACATACTGTTGCTTTAAATATGATGAATGAACGAATTCAAACATTTTTTGTGATATCCTGGATGAAAGTGGATAAAATTAGCTTCAACATCAAGTTAAATTATTTAAAAAAAAACACGTAGTTAATCAAAGACCACATTGTTTTTTTTTTTCATCCAAATTGGGATGAAAAATAGCAAAGCAACCAGGAAATAACACGTTTCCATGCGTTCTGTGTCCATTAACAGCAGCTTTATAACGACTTCATGTGAAAAATGAGTAAGTCATCCGTGCTCATAGGAGCACTGCTGTGTGAGGTCGAGGTCACATGCTGAGGTGGAGAATTCAACAGAATCATGGGGAAAGTGGATCCCTTTGGTTAAAACAGTGAATTTTTTAAGTTCATAAAATGTAGTGTAGCTGCTGGATGGGGCTCACGTTGCTGGAAGACTGCCGTCCAACCAAGATCCTTGTGGGTCGTCACTTTCGCTCAGGGCCCTGCCCTTTCGTCGGCCTGTGTTGGCTATTTCTCTTGAAGTGGTTGCCACGGCAGCAGGTACAGGAAGGAAGTGGGAGGGACTTGGCGTGCGTTTAGGAGAGGTCGGCATTCGACAGGCTTGCTTCGCGTCCAGCTCTGCATCTGCGACTAGCGGGGTACCAGCGACTCCCATCCTCACTCCGGCTTCCTCCCGGTGTGTTGTAGGTGAAAGTTTTCCGGGGCCTGATGCGACCACAGACGCCGCAATGGTGTTTCCCGCCAGAGTCGTTGAATGGTGGAAGAGTTCCTCCGAGCACGAGCGAGCTGGAGTGCTGCGGAGAGCAAAGCAAACTAAAAACGTACTGCTGTCTGGTTATCATCCTATGTCATCAGACAGCATTCCTCTGGAGGAGTCTAGTGTACATGAGGGTTTTTCAAAACATGAATTTAAGAAAATAGCACAGTATGGTCACCAATCCATCCATCGCAGACCGGAAAACAAATTGGAGCCGCAAAGCCAAAGAAAAGAAAAAAAAAATCACTGAACGCTCCGCTGTTTGTCACCCTGTGATGATATTATTGGACTGTAAATTCCCAGAATGCATAGCAGAGTGAGAGACTGGCCAGCTGCCGGCAGTGAAAGGACCAGGCTTCATTTCCAGCCCACTCAGGGTCAGGGAAGGAAGACGGGCTCATTTCCTTACATCCTGAGGGTGGGTCACATGTTCATTTTGCCTGTGAGTGGGTTTATGTGAGTGTGGACACATACAGTGCATTTCTGTGTGTGTGTGTGTGTGTGTGTGTGTGTGTGTGTGCTGTATGAAGGTTTGTGCAGGCTTTGGAAGACGTCATGTAAAGTGTAAATGGAATGGAAGGGCCGTCAATTAGGAGATTTCTTGATATTGATTTTTATCAGTTTAAAAAAACAATCACATCCTTTGTTTTACTAACGAGCCAAATTCACCCCTGAGTGTCAGACGTCTGCTCAAGATAAGAAACACAGTGAACGGTTAACAAACAGCAGCGCAGAGCCGGATACAAGCTCCACTCTTCCATCCAAACAAACTGAAACAAACATCTCAGACTTGTTTTGCTTGTAAAAAAAAAAGGATGTAACAAAACGCAGGAATGTTGGTGTGACACAACCCTGAAAACATACGACAGCTCCAGCCTTATTTTCTTCCTCTTGAACAAACACCAGCTGGAACCAACTGAAGAAGCTCATATCAAATCTTTTTACAAACACTCAAGAAATCCCACTTTCTCCTCGGCAAACAGCAAAACACATGTTAGATTTCTACCGAGGATTCCTCTCACTCCCTGACATGCTGACGATCCAATCAACACCATAACATCAGTGTCAAACAAGAACGCTGGAAACTGGAGGCATGGCCATGACACGTCTCCAGCAGGACTGTGAATGAACAAGAGACTGAAACTGACATTTTCAGGCAGAGAAACGCGGCAGCCTCACATCGCACTGGACGTCTGACAGCTCATAATCCTCACCTTGTTAGTTGACACCAACTGTGAAATGCGTGACCCCGGACAAGCCTGCTGGGTAAAGACTTTCTACGATAACAATGTGTTCCTCCTGCAAACGTATTGTGAGGCTGCTCGGGATAAGAATAGCAGTGGTGGCGATGACCTGGTAATAACAGGGTCAAACAGGGAAGTAGCCGAATGGAAACACCAGCTGGGAAAATCTGAACTAAATGACCAGTCCTGGCGAAAACTGTTCAAACTGAAGTCTGTGGATTATCCTCACTGACGGGAACAGATGTGCTGCTGCCGACAGACTGAAGTGTAATTATTCCAGAGGTTAAATAATGTAATTCCCTTGCTCTGTAGGATGGTGTGCACAGGGGTGTCAGAGGTAGTAGTGAGGCAGCAGAGATACCATCATCCTTTTTAATCCATCTATTCTCCTTTGTGCCTCCATGACCCACAATGCAACCTGACCACTGACAGTTTGCCTGCAGACTCCAGTGTGTTATATGCTCAGGCAGAAGTTATGTGCAGCTTCCGAGGTCTGGTAAATCTCACTTCTGTCTATTTCTCTTAACCTAACATTATTTTCAGTTTTAAACAGCCAAATCTGCCTCAGGTGACACTTGGGACATATTTCATATCAGACACTTGCGCAGCTTCCTCCGGAGCCACAAGAGGCTTTAGATGACATACTAAGTGTCTCAATACCAGGAAACTCAGTGTCGTTTCTTCTTTAGAAGCAACTTTATCAACAATTTTTATACAAAAACTATAAACTGGTTATGTAAGAGTTCTACACAACTATAAGACAAGTCTATCAAGTTCTAGACTTGGTTCATTTCTAGTGAATGAAATATACCTACATATATGAATATATATATATACCCATCAATAATGATGATTTCAGGTAAAAAGAAAAAAACATGAATTAAGGTGAAGACCTTTGTGCAGAGGGGCCCATCAGGTGCGTTACAGTCTCCGTGCGGGGCTCTGCGTGGGGCTGGGGGACGCTACAGGGCGGAGGGTCACTGCTCCTCCTCGTGATGGCCGCATGGATCTCAATGTTAGGGATGGAGAAACTGTGCTCCCCTTCATCCTCCCGTTGAATCTGTGTCTGGGGTTCAAGGGGCGGGGTGGAGGATGGACTCGGGGTGTCTAAGCTAGGGATTTCATCTGGACTGTAACATCAGTCATTCACACACATTTGATAAACAGGAGAGGAAGATGTTATCACATTGGAGCGTAAATAGCAACAATGACATGAAGGTAATTGCAAAGAAACAACGACACACAAATGTGGTGATGGAGAATTAAGTGCACGTAAGAGGTCAAATTAGGTTAAAGGGGAAACACAAATATACACAATAAGAGGGAAGGAGGTGGAGAAGGAGGGAAAGGAAAACAATAAATGCAAATTAATAAATGCACTTGATGATGCAAAATAAAATGATGGATGAATTTAACCAAGGGAAATGAGATCAGCAGCAAACACTGGGTTAAACACACAGACACACTTCCCCTGCTGTAAATCCTCCTACTCACAGCTATAGACCACTTGAGATAAGACCAAGACCCATTTTCCTTCTGGTGTCCATCGATACAGTCAAACAATTATTCATCCAAACCTCAAAACATTAACACTCCCTTTCTCCTCTCACGCCTCAACAATAACATCGCACACGCTGATCAAAAGCACATTACGGAATCTACTGAGGCAGCAGAAATCTGACACTTCGACACATGAGATCCACTGAGGAGCAACTGCTAAATATAAGATCCCAGAGCTCTCGCACATTTGGCTTTTATTCCGCCTCATTTTTCTTTTTTTTTTTTTTTTTTTTTACATTTTTGCTTCAATCGGAGTCCGAAACCAAATGGAAGCTCACATCTGGCCTCCATCAGCCACTCCCATCTGAACTGCACTGGACAGAGAGACAGAACCAAAAGCTGAAAGGTTTCATTTCAGACAACTGTAATTTGACTGAGTGACAACTGGAGCCACACTGCACTAAAATTATGCTCTGCCTCTACCAATTCATCACTCTGTCTGGATTTGATTCTACTCATTTTAAACATGCAGAGTGGAGACGACATCTTCATAAAAGATGCAGATTCATATGTGAGAAAAAGAACGACGGCTTAAATCTTCATTTGCAGAAACCCATATGAGTCAAACATGAGTTCCTGTTTGTAAAACCTCTTACACTCTCCATCACCAGTGTAAAGACGGTTTCTCACTCTGCACTGTTACGATGAAAAAACTGAAAATATGTGAGATCTAACCACGATTTACCTAAAACGTAGGATTTAGTTTGATTAGTAACAAACTGAAAAATCAAATAACTTCACAAGTCTCTCCGATTAGTCACACTCACCTGAAAGGTCTGTCTCCCCCTATAGGCGAAGTGGCAGTACTCCAACTCTTGCGTGCTCCCTCCTCTTTGTCGTTTTTCTTTTTGCGGAGCGGCGTGGGTAGATATCCACTCTGGTTGCTCTTGTTGGGAAGGTACTGGTTAAAGGGCATGGCGGTTCGAAGCTCGCTGACGGACGTTCGCCGCGCAGACATGTCGTCCTTACGGATGTCCGGCACCTTCCTGTGGGGGGGGCCGTCGGACTCTGAGTCGCTTCCACGGCCTGTTTCAGAGCAAGAGATGAGGGGGTGAAGCAGTTTATTAATGGTGTCATGGAGCCTCTACTATGAACATTGCTGATAAATCATTTTGCAGCTGATTTCTTGGCAGAATGAGTTTGCCTTAAAACGCAGGCTGAACCCCTTTATAACGATACAGACATTAACCTCAGCCAATATAAAAATATGATTTTCATTTAACAGGCAGTTAAATATAGTTTCTTTTCATCATGTAAATATGATGTGAAATACAAACGACCCACAGTGGCAATAAAAAACAACCTCAGTGGAGGGAGTGTCAATATACTGAAGGTTAACAGAAACCTGTAATTTCACCATGTTTCATTATTTGATGACATCAAAAGCATTCTCTTCTTTTCTAAACAGGAATCTTTGCTGCATTAATGATGAAGGCTCTGAAAACAACAGTGTCTCAGATGTGTTGCAATACTTTCTGAATGATAACAGCTTTTGAAAATGACCGTGATTCCCCTTTAAGCCTCCGAGAGAGAAAACAAGTAGGCTGCTGAGTCATGGTCAGAGACAGACATAGACGGGGAGCGAGGGAAAGAGGGAGGAGGCGAATAAATACAAAAATAGGAGGAGCAGAGTAACTATTGATCGAGGACTCAGATTTCCCTCCAAACCATCAGGTTATATAGGCCTAGAAAACATTATAGTGCTGTTACTGTGTTATTATGTGTGGTGCATTCCTGCGGCTGAACATAAATCAACTCCGAGCAGGTTTTTACACAAAACAAGCAACATAAATCATAAGTGAATTTGTATTGCGCAACTCGTGCTGACTAAATTCTAGCCTGCAGTTCGGAAGAATTCACTTAAGATGTGTGTCTGTGCGTCCCCCAGCCCCACGCAGACTTTCAAACATCGTGAGCATTTTAATCTCAGTGGAAACACCTGGATTTGCAGAAGGGCATTGCTCAAGGACTTAAATTCCTCTGCAAGATGTTGATGTGATCCTGAGAGTACAAACAACGATAGAGACTCACATGTTTATAATTCCAGGGATCTGCTCTAAGCATACTAGACATTTCCACTGTCATTAAGGCCTCTGTCTGCTCATTCTACTCCACATTCACAAACTGCAGAAAAGGCAGCTAATACCTGCCGCGCTGCTTTACCCAAGGTCTCCCAGAAATTCCTCTCCCCAAGATGTTCAGCACATGTGCTACTGGAATTCCCCTCCCTGCATGAGAGCCTAATCTACGACCTGCGAATATATATGACTTAATTCATACATTTTCCAAGTATAAACCCACAATTTCAACCCATAAACGTCCTCCGCTGATTTTGAAAACAGATACATGTGGAGGAGTCAACCGCAGCTATCGGTGGAAATAAACGTCACATTCTGAACTTGTGAAAACCTCCCTTTCTATGAATAGACTTTTTGTTTTTATGTGGTCCAAAAAGATTGACAGAACAAGGTCCAACAGAGGCCTTGAGTTATCCGCACTTCCAACAATGAATGGTTCAATTATGGCTCTTTACACATCAGCTCGAAACATGAGTAACTCTGCCATCCAAGTCCATCTTTAGAGGAACAGCGCATGTCGATCTCACGGGGTCGATCTCGTCTCTCGGCACATGTGGTAACACTGAAGCTTGAGTGTTTGTCCTGGGTCAGTGTTCGTACTGTACCGGAGCTTCAAAGAATCTTATTTACATCAATAACCATCAACATGCAGTCAGGCTACATGGCAAAGGAAGAGCAAGAGTCCAGTTCAATATGTTTTAAAGTGACTGAAAAGCTGAAACAGAAAAACAAGAGAAGATCGACAGAGATCCGCTCAAAATGTCTGAGAGCAATAAAGGGAAATAAATGATGACACTATCGAGGACACAAAATGTGATTCTGTTTTTCTTATGATGTGACACAGATGTACTGAGCCTTTGTGTGGCTCAAAGAAGTTTGAGTTGAAAAACCCACTCAGTCCCAACTATTATCTATTCTGCTCATCCTCTGAGGGTGGAGGAGGGGTTGGAGCTAACGTCAGTTGACATTGAGTGAGAGGCGTGTTACACGCAGGTCGCCATTGTACCATAGGGACGAATGTGGCCCTGAAAGTTGGGTCCATAAAATGTCTGTGGCAAAGTCTCCTAACCTGCATGTTTCTGGACTGTTGGGAGAAGCTGGATTACTGGGAGAAAACCGGGTAAAGGAAAAACCACAGTAACGACAGTCAAGGTTTAACAAGAGGAGGATAGATTTAACTTTATGAGAGCCAGTAGAACAAAGTTCTTCATTTATCAAAACTGTATCCATCTACAAACTTGGTCCAAACAAAAGAACCTCGCCAATATTGGATTTCTTACAGAGATTGAGTAAAACTCATTTTTCCAGTTCCCTAATTACTGTCAGGGTGAAGTCAGCTTACAGGTCTGAATAGTGAAAGGATTTTTTTGTCTGAAGGCCAGGGCAGCGGAAACCTGCCTGGGTTCAGCTTGTGTGCCTGTTAATAAATGGATACTCTTGTTCCTGGCGTTCTCAGAGGTCCCTGTGATTGGTTGATAACAGCATTGTTGTCCTGTTCTCACTTTTCTCACCTGTGCCTCCTGGGTCTGATCTGAACACTGACTATATGAGAATAATGGTCAGGGTTTAGAAATATGATCAGACGTGTAAAACATATTTTCGACTGAACGTGAGCGAGACACAAAGAGCTCCTGACAGCGAAGACTTCAACAAAAAATGTAAAGAAAATTCATAGACCACAGCATTTTTTTTTTTACACTTCCCTTAAAACAGAAGTGCCATCGGACAGCTTGCTCGGCCTCTCTCTGTATTTTCTGAAATGTTCGTTACATTTTATAGGTCGTCATTAAAATTTTAAACCGCCTCATTCAAATGCAGCGCAGCAATCAACAGATTTCAGTGACGGGCAAACTGTACTTTAACTCCCTTTATGACTCCAACACAACATAAACACAGACTTCAGACAGTTTTACAGTTTTAATGCCAGTATGTGGTTATCTAAACTTTATCTGCTTTTTTTTGTTGCTTTTAGTTTCTGAAAACAGGTAATATAAAGAATAGAATGTAGATCAGGTGCACATGATTGTCTGACTTGAGAAATTAGAGTAAAGCAGAGGTAGAGGGCATGTATACATTCATTTCTTTGTTTACTTACTTACTTGAAATACATATTCCTAAATCCTATCAAGTTTTAACTACGAGCTATTATTATGTCTTCTGTCACGACAATGAGGATAAAATATTGTATAGAATAGTGTCCTTTGTTTTTAGGTTTCATCATCGCTGACAGATGAGTCAAGTGTCGGATCAAAAAAACCACTAAAAGCCTCCATTCATTCAACCGCACCTCTTTCTCTCCCCAGTTTCACTGTATCAGGAAGCTTCATCTCCCTCTCTCTCTCTCTCTCTCTCTCTCTCTCTCTAGTGCAGTCAATCATCTCATTCCGCACTTCAAGGGAGCCATCAAACAACCGTAACCCATGGCAACAGGCACAAACACTCGGCACAGAGGCACTTTTGTGTGGATGTCAATGGCAGGACAGGAAATCCTCAGTGACAGGTGTCACAACTTGCAATGAGAGCACGGACGCTTTTGAGATGCGTTGGGGGCTGTGGCGTCCATTCACTCACATACATGTCACACGTAAACACATACAAACACAGAGATGCAGACATGACTGATTTGGCGCAAGCTACGATTTTGGAGGAAAAACTAAGATTCAGTGGGTTAGGGTTAGGACGCAGGAGGAGGAAGTGCCCTGGAGCAAGACGGTGAATCCCTGTCACCAAGCCTGACCTCCCAGTGACGGGGGGGCAATTTAAATATTTAAATATAAATATTATTCAACGATATTTTATATTTATCTTTTTTGATTGGTTTAATATCTTACAAATTGCTAAAAACCTTTTACAGTAAACCATATTTAACAGTTATATTACAATGTTAAGGTCGGACAGAGCAACTGCTGAGCATGTTCAGAGTCTCAGAGTTCAAACTACAGCTGAAGGTCTCAGAGAGTTTTTATCTCTGTCACAGGACACAGATTTGAAATGTGAAAGATAAGTTATTACACGAGAAAGCAATGTTTCATCTGACGGAAAACAAACAGACACATGGACGTAAATCGAATCATTTCGCTTCCAACAAATTGCATCATTTATGTCCCAATTGGTAATTTTCAGAAGAAATACACAGATCTAATATCTTGTCTTTGACGTCGTCTGACACAGTCATAGGATGTCATCTTAGTGGAGCCATGTGTGAATATTACATAACTGAAATGTGTTGAAACAGAAACAGATGTGACAGACTTTGTTTTTGAAACTCGGCTTTTTCACGCTGCAGACAGACAACAGATAGACGGAGAGGCCGTTGAGCTGAAGCTCAAAAAGAGATAAAACGCAGGATCTCTGATATGTAGAATTTGAAACTGTTATATCCTTTACAAGCTTCACGTCAGCAGCACCACAGACACAAACGACCTCATTCAGTGCATGTGCACCGTGTCTACAGACCGAGCCACACAGCACAGCTCTGAATTTCAAAAAATACCTATAGCTCTCCTACAGTTTCTTGTTGAAACGAAACAATGGCCTTACTTTGACTTCACAACAGCACTGAGATCATTCACGCTTCTTTTTTGAAAACACTGGGCGTTGTCAAAAACACAGGGAGGAGAACTACAGGCTTTACTACAGTAGCTCTACGAGCACAATGCACCCCATTTATCTATATACTGTATCGGTACACCGCAAACGAGCCAAACAAAACAGCCTGTACTGAATTACTTTCCCTCCTCAAGATAAATGGCTGTGACTAACATGACAAAGGCTATTGAACAGATTTCACCTGCAACCTTTAAGTTGAAGCATTCTTTAAACAAGATCCCAAAAAAATAAAGTGCAGTGTTTCCTACCATCGCTGCTGCCGCGGGCAACCAGGACGTCTGGCGACGGGGTTTGACGTGAGCGTGAGCCGAAGGAGTCCAGGCTGTCGAACGAGTCCTCGCGGCCGTGGCGTGGGGGGGAGAGAGAGTCGCTGCGCTCTGAGTCCCAGCAGTCGATGTAGCCACTGTCGCGGATGCTGCGTTTCGGGCTCTCTGCCTCCTCCGCCTCCTGGACATTTATACATACACATCCACTTTATATAGAATACACAGGTGTATAAAAATTCTATTGTACAAAAGGAAAGAAAATGACCAAATATCTCCTTTGAATAATCCTTTTAATTACTCAAAAGTCTGTAAACTTGTGTTGTATGTCCACTACAAACATCTCACACTCACTCTGCAGTGTTCCCACATCCATTTATCAATCAGCCTCTGCCTACATCCCCCTTCATCACTCTCTCTTCACCTTCGTGACCCCTCCCTTTGTCTGTCTACAGTTGGAACAAGCCTCTGCAGCTAATGGGAGGTGGGGAGAGGCCTTTCCTGTCTACAAAAAGACTTCCCGTTCCTGACCCCGGTACCATCTGTTATGCAACTCCCAGACCCCCGACAAAGTCTTTATGATGCTTCCAAGAAGTCTCTACCACCGAATCATTTCTGTGTGATTCATCTCTTTGGTGAAGTCATGACATCGCAGAGTTAGGGAGCACTGGTAAAGTTTGTGGATGGGTGCAAACATATCCTTTAAAATCCAAGGAGATCAGTTTAACTTCTTATATATATATATTTTTTTTGTTCTTGTTCTTGAGCATTCACCTGCTTCTTCCTCTTCTTCCAGTTTCCAGTTAATAAACATTAGAAGTGAACTGAGAATCAAATCAAACCAATTCAATCCTGAGTGTGTGCACCTGATTTTCCAATTCCAATATCATTGTTATTGTTTCTTTTGTTTCATGGAGACGTGGCTTTGTTTTGGTCAGCTGCAACGTGTTCACATCTGGGAGAGAGATTGCGCTGAGTTGGCAGCAATTCCTTAGTTTTACAGAACAGCAAAGGGACGTCACTTTGTGGAATAAATTGCATGAGGGTGACATCATGGTGAGAGAGCTGCTGTCAGATGGAGACGGGTCAAGATGACTTAAGTATAATCATGGGGTGTTATACGCATGATTACACTAAACAAACATACTAATTTAGTGTATTGCATAATGAATCATTCAGTTAATCACATTTGGTTTCTGTGATCTTCTCCTTACAAAAAAAAGAAAGATGATCCCTCAGTGGCTGCTGGGGGATTTGTAATACAACACAACTACAACTACAGATTTCTAATTTTTAACTGGGACCATCACCAAATGTGACTCGACAAACCTTTCGCATCTGTGACAGCAGGCCCTCAAACTCTTTCAGGTCCAGCGTGGGCCCGTTGTAGGAGGTACAGCCGTTGGCAGCACGACCCAACCAGTAGATGGTGATTAAAACCTGAAGGGCAGAAAAAAAGAATGCAGTCAAGCACCGTGATGAAATTAGACAATTCTTTGTTTGTAAAGAAAACAACAATCCTGATACACAAACATATCACTACACACAAGTTGAGCCTGTTGAACCTGTTTGAATTCAAAATATGAAGTCAGAAACACACCGGACTCTCTGAAGTAGTCTTCCTTGAGATCCAGCAGAGGGCGCTCACTATCAGCTTGACCTATTGCATGCCCTCTTGACCTATCAACATGGTAAGCCAGTAATGTTATGATGTTTAGCAAGGAAAATGGAGGAAGCTAGCAAGCAAGGCCACCCTGAGCAGACGATCACACAAAAGCATCTGAGAAGCAGCTGTGTGGGCGTGTTTAGGGGTCTAGGCCATAGAAAACAAAGTAATGGACAAGGTTAAGGCCGTTTCTGCAGTCGTCTTTCTCTTTATATTATAGGAAGATAAAAGTGCTTCAGGCGGAGGAACCAAAGTTTTGATGCATTCAATGTAACCCCCTGTGGAATTAGCCAAATGGCCAAAATGCAGAATGTACAGATTGGCTGTATCCACTGGGAGAGCTGCACCTGTAGCACAGTTGGCAAAGTGATCTCAGCTATATTGACTGTGTCCATGTCAACCAGCACTCCACAGGGATTGCTCTGATAAGAAAGCTCAGCGTGGTTTAATGTGTTCATTTCAGTCGTACTGTCAGCGTGAACACCTTCTGTCGTTCAAACACAACGACCAGCTGATCGGAAGAAGCACAACGAAACTCCTCTTTTAGCTCCAGACAGAGGGTCCACCTCACAGACATGCAACTCTACATCTGGGAGAAGTTTTCTCGAGTCTTGCTCGAGGACACTCACCTAGAATCAAACCAGAACTCTATAAAAAAAGATCAAAACTTCTGGTTTCTCATTCATCTTCATATAAAATAGCTGCACATCTTGCTACTGCACGAAATGCCACTAATATAAAAGAGCTGTGCTAAAGCAGCACTGCACTTGCTGTGGTTCTGGGTCGTCATCATCTGCATACTGTGGTACGCAGAGCAGCAGAGTATATTGTTTCCCTGTCACCAGTACAATGAACACATCCGTGCCAGCTCCCATTGGAAGTGGGTCAGCACCAACTGTGTTTCAGTTGCTTACTACTGTGCTTTAAACACATCCATATTGATCTGTGCTGCACATACACAGAGGGGGAAACAATGCACGATTGCACTCACATGATTCAGACATGCAACATTAAACCTACTGCCAACAACGGGAGAAAAACTGAAACTTGGACTGAGCTACAGCGTTAAAAAGAAAACATCAGTGGGATTCTGACTGACAGAAATATAAATGACCGGCCTGACAGTGACGTGATGCATCGTGTCACACTTGCTTTGCCACTTGAGTATCAGCAGCTGTCTTTCTCTGGCAGATGTAGAAAGACCTGTCAACGAGGTTCCAGTGAAAACAACAGTCATCTCTTTGTTTCATGTGCAAACACCCATAAGTGATGCGAAGGCATGAATCAACTCAAAAAAACATCGACAGTGTAAACACACATACACACAAGCCCCTGTCACAGTCCGATGCCTGTATAGGTACAAAGTCCCTGTATCCATTATTAAAACACACAAATGTAAAACCCCTCCTGTTCCCACCTGCAACAGCTAAACTGTCATCTCATGACTCCAGCAAAATTCCACCCATTCATGCTCTTTGTCCCATCTGTTTGCCAAACAACACCTTTTTTACCACATCAGCAAATTCCACTTGGTGCAGTTCCTTCACCTCTCAATATGTGACGTGCAGCAGAGGCAGCTGCTATCAAATCCTAGTCGTCAGCCTGAGTCTGCAGGGTAGATCCACAGTGAAGCAGCATATCGTAGCAGCAGTGGCTGCCTGAGGTTGGTAGGCCGATTGTTTTGCTATTGCTTGTAAATTCTGGCTGAGATGTGGCTGAGAGTCCCTGTGTTGTCAGCTGGATGAGCTAGCAGCCCCTGCCAGCTCTGCAGCTCAACACATTAACTTGAACTGTGCACAGCAGCATCACAGAGAGAGGGAGAGAGAGAGAGAGAGAGAGAGAGAGAGCACGCTTTGACTGCAGAGTGGGCAGGGCTACATTATGTGTTGCACTTCTTAAAGCAGCATTATTAGGAATAGAGAGCGATGATGAAGAACATTTGGGGAGAGCCGGTATGAAATGAGCGGGCACTGCGAATTAAATATTTATAATAAATCAAAAAGAGGCAAAAAAAAGCAGCTCAGACACAAATAAAGCGATTAAGCAGAGTAAGAATTAGCTATTCAATGATAGAATTAGTTGTGTTGTGTGTGTAATATAGAAATACATAAAAACTGAGAGGACCAGCACTGACATCAAAACCATAGACTGCATATAAAGATAGATGACGTGACAGCTAAACCCTATTTTTCTTCTGGCTGGTTGCAGTGTAGGTCATAAACCTCTGCTCCATGTTAGCAGATGGGACATGGGCCAAACTAAAAAACTAAAAAGTATGTGTGAAATAAAATGTTCGTCATCTCTGGTTTCTGGGATGAAGAACATTTTTAATCCATCTTAATACAGTTTATTTCTAAAACGGGGTAAAGTGAAATGTGTGAAATAAAGGAGAATAGTCTGCGCAGCTGAAGCTAGAATAGACGAGACGGTGCAGACAGAATGAATGGTATTCCATGTGAAGTATTTAACAACACAGAGCTGCTGTGGGGTAGAGCTGGAACAGGAAGCTGAAATAAAAGATGACGACCGCAGCACAAACAGAAACACAGGGCTATAATAACAGTTTCCTTCCAAACATACATTTAGCACACAAATTATCCCACTGTAATCCAGAAGTGTCACTTACATTCTTCAGCTTTCGGCTGCAGTCACTTCCCCTGGAGAACGAGACAGAGGCATCGAGTTACATAAAGATAACAGCAGACACTGAAGATGCATGAACTCCCACATATCCATGCAAAACAGCAGCAAGAAAAAAAACTTGTTAAAAATATGTAGGATTCTGAGGTGAGTGCAGCCCACGCAGGGAGAACTGACAGCCTCAGGAACTCAGTTATTCAATGACAACATACTGTAGAAGAATATCGGTGGTAGTTTCTCTGGTTCCAAAAGCTTACACCAATATTCATCATCTTTTTCAACAGTGCGTCTCAGTGGTGGTCAGACGCTTTGACTTCCAAGTGAGGTCTGGGAGGTGCAGTGCACGAACGCCACAGCCGTGGCCACTTAGCACCACACGTGCTGCCAAAATGAGATGTGGCTCTTGCTCACCGCTTTAAGCCATAAACTGGAGTGAAGCAGTTAAACTGATCCCAACACACTGGTGTTGTGGAAATACACAGAGAAGGAGAAAAGAGAAAATACACACACACGCATAAAGAGATATGACAACATTAGATAGAGATATTAGTCAGAAGAATTGACACACAAGAAATGCACACTTTTCAAAGTAGAATAAATTCCAGTTTGTTTGGAAAAACACCCTAAAGCACAAAGTTAAAACAGTTTTTAAGTGAGAGGCAACAAGGAGATGCCAAACCTCTCTGGCCAAGTCTTTGCACCCGAGTGAAGAACTGTGATCATCCTCATCCTCATGCTTTAGTCTGGATTATGACCAAACAAACAATCATACCAAAATCAGAAAGAGTACATTTTTTTACATCGAGCAGGTATTAACAAACAACATAATTTATAGAAGAAGACTGAGGCTGCTCTATTCATTTGAGTTAAATCATAGAATAGCTGTCAAAGAAAAACGAAATAGAAGAATCTGTCTTCTTATATAGTTCTTAGAAAGAGCAAAACATAATGTTCATTTTCTCTTTGACTGACTTTAAATGGTTGAATTACTTGTTAACGTATATAAACGTAAACATCGTGGGAGTTTCCAGAGTCACAAATCCCAACTCACTCAACATGCAGGTAAATGACAGTTGCATGGGTTTTCCATGACAGCAGCGAGCGGAGAAAGAAAAGAATGTAAGAAGAGGAGGTGAAGAGCGAGGTGACAGTAGCTGGAGGGAATGTAGTGTCAGTCCTCCTCCTCCTCCTCCTCATCCTGTCTTTGTCAGCTGACTGAATAAACACTGAGACGATAGACAGCTTGTCTCTGCTTTTACCTTGCAGAGGTGAACCTGAGGGACAAACCCGACAGATTCCACCAGATATTAGATCACCAGGGGCCAGGCCAGAGTAAACATCTGTCAGATTCCACTCTGTTCTTTCCCGAGACTTTGAATAAAGTCGTGGTTACTGACGCTGATAGAAACAAACAGTATCAAAATTAAAAATTAGCATTCCAATCATATTTGGAGATAAGCCCACAAAATTTTATAATTTACAAACTATATCTCTGCATGAAACATTTACTTTAAAGAAGTGCGAAACGTGCACTGACACGTTTTGATACTTTCAGATTGCACGAGACAATTAACACTGAACTTCACACTTCTGTTTTTATCCTCATCTATCATTCGTATTCTACCTAATTTACCTTTTGACTTTTTCCATGTTCTCTTTTAATTAAATGCTCACAGCATTGTTTTATAATTAAAGGGCAATTTGAATAAAAATTATAATAATAAAAGGATTTAAAAACAGGCTCTGAGAAGTCAAGAGAAATCTGCCAAAAATATCTCAACTGGGCTCCGTGCTGCGTCACGGCTAATTAAACAATTACTGTGAATATTACAATGTGTATTACTCTATGATGGAAGCATGAAATATGTCCACCTCTTGCTGATAACAACCTAATAGATATTTAATAAATCCTGAAGACTTGTTTGTTCCTGTCGGCGGTTTTCCATCACACTTATTTCAACCCAACTGTGAGAGAAATGCATTTTTATACATTCAACTGCAAAATCTCCTCTTCTTTCCTCCACCTGCGACTTCTGTCTGTTTCCATCAACATGCAGAGGAACAGGATATATTTCAGGCCTGAGCTCACAATGTACCACAACCTGTCTGTCTTTACGCCTCCCTGTCCAAAGCTGTTACCCAGATGAGTAAACACCTGTCCAGTGCGTCGCAGGGGGAGCTAGCACTGAAACTTTTTTACTGTCGTGGTTACATTAGCTGCAGGAAACGAGCATCCTGTACGACAGATGTTGCATAACACCTGGAAATAGAAGCGGGCCACTTAAACAATGACGTCAATATTTCCTATCGGGACTGCGATTGCTTATTCCTTCTAAAGAGTGAAACTTTTCTGTATTGTCATGAACCACTGCAGCTCACTGATCTTTACATGTTGTGATGAGTATTTTAAAATAACGCAGATTAAGTCTGTCACTTTTTATTTGAAATATGTTCTGTATATTTATTGGTTACAGGGGAAAAAGTACATATATCTAATTAGTAATGAATTGTCATTATCATAAGACCAATCAGAGAAAAATTAATTCTTTAAAAAGCCAAACATCATGAATTTCTTATTAATAGTGTCATCTTTTTTGAAAAAACAATGCCTTCTGAACAAGGCATGCACGATTACTGTAAACGTGCACACATGCTCAGAATACAAATATATATAAATACTAGAGTACACAATCACACACCTTCTATCACGTCTTTGTCCTAACAGAGCCAGTAGAGCAGCTCCTCCTGAGAGCAGCTAACATTAGCCCCGTCCACTCTCTCCCCTCCATCTCAAGCAGCACCTTTCTAAACCCTCCAGTGAATTACGCCTTGTCTACAGCCAGCATGAGGACAGCACATGTCCCACACATTCACAAAAAAAAACTTACAGTATATATAAAAACACATGCAAGTGGCTTTGTTACCAAGCAACAAAGTGAGAGCCGTGTTTCTGTGGGTGATCTGAAGCTTCTTGTATTTGGACACAGACTGTTTAACAGATATTCCATTGTTGCTCTGCTGACACAGACTCATACAAACTTCCATTTACTCCCATTTAGTTGTTTGTGTTTGCACTCAACTGGTTTATTGTCCGATGCAGAGAATGACAGACAGTGTGACTGACAGAGAGTGACACACAAAGAGACGCACAACAAGTGTTACGGACAAGCCATCTATTAACACACAACTGAAGTGGTCATCAGCAGCTCTCAGTCACAATCACTTTATAACAACACAAATCTCCCTTTTATTCTAAACATTCGGAAATATACTCAGGACCATTCATCTCCATGACAACCAGGCAGAATCCATGAGCTGGTAAAGATCATAAGATGAAGTCGAAATGTTCTGAACATTAGAGCCTGAGGAAATTTTTTTTTAGAATATAGGACAAGATGTTGAACATCCCTTGTATGTTTGAAGGTCTTCTGCACAATTTAAGTTACCAACCACCAGTAGATGTCAGGGACGTAACTTCAGTCGTGCACCATAGCGTCATTAAGTCTTGTAATCAATGATACAGGCTGAACTTGAGGGTACGCTGAGGCTAAAGGTAAATTAATAATATCACAAATTAAAAATCAAGCCTGTATTGGCCTCTTGATAAATTGTTATAACATTTATCCAATAAAATGTGTATTTTCAAATTCAGTTTCATTCTGGATAAAGAGACGAATCAACACATTTCATTTCACATGTGATATACGACAAAAAAATCACACACACTCATCGAGCAGCAAGATAACAGGGAAGTCTTACTTGGCGGTGGGGCGTGTTGATGTCTCCTGCAGGTCTCCAGGGTCAAACAGCTGAGAGCCTTTCAGTCCCAACTCCTCACAGCCTCGGAGAAACACACTGAGGTTGTCCTGCACGAAACACACACACATTTCATTTGGGTAAATACACTGTTTGCAGACACAGGGCAAAGCAAGGTCAGGCCCCTTCACTGCACAGGGTCTCGACTGAGATGACAAACTCTCACTTTGTCTTTCTCTAAGATTCACATTAAATCAGAAAAATACTGTAGAAAACATTAGTGTCCTTTACACTAGAAAAGTCAAACATGGACACACTCGTAAAAACAGGTTTTTCCTCTACACACAAATGCAACACATAACCTGTTCGACTGTGAAAATGACTTATTTTACCCTAAACCTAACATAAACCTGATTCTGGCCTTCAGCTCACACCGAGGCTCATGTAACTTATAACCTTTACAGACCTGCGGACTGTCCAAACAGTTCTAACGGTGCAAACATGTCCTCGATATTAAAGTCAACAACTGAAAGACAGAAGTACAACAGTTCCACAGATATTTAGATAAAAGTTCAAGCTCCTCAATTAGGTGCTTTCAACATTTTCTCTCAGACAAACAAACACAACGTTTGCCAGAAATGCAAGAACACAACAACAAGGCATGAAGAGAGTGCGTGTGATTCATGTCCCTGGTCTGAGGAGGTTTAGGTCAAACAAACACGCAAACACACAGTCTTTGCACAACATGAAAATCAGGATACCTGCTTGACCGAAACGTGACACCGCCAGGTTTTGTGTCTGGTTCACGTACAGCTCCTCTCTCAGATTACTGCAACTTTCACGCTTCACTTTGTGCTTCCTTCAAGTATCGTCCTTCAAGTATCGTCCCGCTCCTCGTTTATCTCCCCTCATTCACCTGCTCTTCCTCGATCTGTCTACTTCTTCGTCTTCGTCCCTGCTCCTCAGTCTCTCTCCATCTCCTCGGTCCTCCCTCTCACATCCCTGCTCTCTGACAAAACTCTTTGTTGGGTGCAACCTGAGCTGAGCTCTCCCTCTCTCGTTCCCAGGTTCTCTCTCTCTCTTTGTGTACGTCGCTCTATCCTTCTGAAGGCCACAGCCAATTGCCCTTCCCGCCAACACCCCCCCCACTTCTCCTCCCCTCTGGGTGTCACCGTTTCCTCTCCACCCTGATTGTTCCGGGCACACAGTATCTCTCTCACACAACAAAACACAAATATAATGTGCGTATTTACACAGCATGCACATTTAAACAAAATGCTGTTATGCATCATTCAAAGTGCATAGACACACAGAACTGAGATACTTATTTTACAGGTAAATGTACACACTACTTGGTGAGACAATACAGGCATTGCTACAACAAACTCTCTGGATCGCTTTTTTCTCACAATCATGCCATTCGCTGCAAAACACCACCTCTGACACCACCCTGCTGCTTCCTGTGTTTTTTGGGCAGCTACGTCTCTGCTCTCCTGATGAGACACACAACACACACACACACACACACAGAGCACACACACAACGCACACACAACACACACACAACACACACACAACACACACAGAGCCATGTTTGCATTCCAAATAAAGGGCTTTCAGAAATGTGTCGCTCTGACTGAGAACTCACTTTTAAGAGTTGTAAAAATATTGATGGGTAAACCCGAACGATATCTTGCTCTTCCTCGCTGGAAACAAATGGGACATGATTTTTGGAAGAGCTGGTTTTCAGCATTTAATCACATTTTGTCTCTAAAACTATACAATGACCAGGTTTTGGATTATATAGCAAATTTAATTAATTAGTTGGTATAATTTGATTCTGAAATATTAAAGCACTGTTAAACAAGAGCTCTGAAAACAGGAAACGCCGGTGATTAATAATCAGCTGTTGATATAGGAGCTGGATAATGAGCCGCCAAGTGAAAGCATGCCTGTGAGAGTGTGAGTCAAATTGGGAGCAAATAAAAAGTTACCGCCGACTTCAGACAGCAACTCCAACTTTAACCTCAGCAGCTGAACAATCCTGTCCCACATTTTCCCTCATCCTCCATCAGCTGGTATTTATAACTGTCTGGAGCAATTAACACCGAAACAAACAAGACCAACAACAAATGATTAAATGGTCTCATTTAGTAGCTACTTGCACACAAAAAAATAATTTAACAGGAGCATTGGGAGTGAGTGAGTGAGTGTGTGTGTCTTAGGAAATGAGCATAACTTTGTGGTGAAATCGCAGGTCACTGCCACAGGAAACTGGGCGTCTACTGCAAAGACATGACTGACAGCTGAATGTGTTTGTAGACATGGGAGGTTGAGAAGTTGAGTCAGACACAAAGTCTGTGCATTCACATAAAAAAAAAAAAAAAAAGACGTAATGATAAATTTGGGCAAAGGTGTGGAAATAAAAACACTGTGGTAAGATTAACCAGTGAAAAGAAGAAGTGTGTAAGTGTGTGCAAGGAGAGTAACAATTACCAAGAGTCATATAAATATGATTTACGATCAAATCTGAACAAGCTCTATGATAGAAAAAAAAAAACAATAATTACAGAGAGCCATCCTAAGATCCAAAATTAAAGCCAGTGCATCGACTTTGAACGTGTGTAAAATAAAAAGATAACAAGTGCCCCTCACAACAATCAATATCTGTCTACACCCACGATTAGACAGGTTTCTCAGGGAAGAGGTGTCGTGTTCACGCCCTGGATCGTGACAGACTCCAGATGAAAGATGGTCAGGGCGAGAAAACAAGACACTCTGATGACAAGATATTTTCCCTATTGTTTTTGTCCCTGCCAAGGGCAACACAAAAAACGAAGACGAAGGAAACATGCTGGCAAGGACCCAACATGATAAAAAATAAAAGGTTGTGCAGCAATTCTTTTTAGTTTAATACTTTAGTTTCTTCATCGACTTTTACGATCATTATAGTCAATAGGAGACAACAATAAGGGAAAAACATTACATAAAAATGGCAATACCCTAATGACATTTGTTTTTTTTCAATTTATCATAAAGCCTCTGACAGGAATCTTTTTCCAAGAATAGCAATTTGACTGACACTATGCTTTGATAAAATCTCAAGAGACACGATTCTAATGAAGCAGATGGTGACACAACAGTGAAAACTGAAAATGAAAAAAGCTTGAAATATATTACGAAACACTCTACAGTGTTTTCTTTCTACGTGAGCGTCACTGAAAAAAATAACACAAACCCTTGTTGCCCTAAACTTGAAAACAACACCTTTCTCAAGCATGTGAATTACAAGCGTTCAGCTCACGGGCCGATCACGTGTGTCTGTTTGCACACTGTAAAACGTGAACATACCAGTCGACCCAGAGACAGCTGGGAACAGACCACGCAACAACCGACCTGTTCAGACGAACACGGAGCCACACACAGCACTGAGGTGGCTGCTCTAATTACAAAACAGCCCAAACTCCTCAGAGACTCATTTTCCCATTAGCCCCCCAAACAGGAAGAGGAAGGGGGAGTAGCCTGTGTTTTATTACGATGGGCCAGATAACAGCAGACCCCTTGTTTACGCGTTTCTCACCTCTCTAATCGCAGCCAGGGGAAGGAAAAATCAAAAAGCCACAAGACGGTACAAGACAGAATTATGGAGTACTCATACTATTCAAATACAAATACACCCAGAGGGCAGGATATTCTTTTATATGTTGACCTTTCACTACTAATGTAAACATGTTGTTTTCAGTGGATGATTCATTTTTCCCTTTGGGCCAATTAGCAGCGGTCACATTTTGTTTTCTTGTGCTGCAGTTGTGGTCTACACCTACACATAAACAGACTTTTGTATAATAATGCTGTCATCATTCACTGGTGTTTGAGATCCCATTCAGATTTGTGACATAAACCAACCATCACACAATCTTTTCAACACATACAACAAAATCACTGAATGGTCCATAAAATGACCAGGAAGTTGAATCGACATATCTCAAGAAAGGATATGATCCATAAGTAATCTGGTTTATAATTTGGCTTGGACATATTTTATAATTGTTGGAGGTGATGTGTTCCCTTTCTGCTGATATCAATATTACGTTTAATATAATAATAACTATATGACATTACGATGAAGAATATATGGGTAGATACAAAAACAAGAATAAAACTGCAGCAGAACTTGTCAATGTTGTTTCGGGAAATTAAAAAAACAAAAAACAAAAAACAGCCGTCAAATTACTTTCTTTCAAAACTCACAGCGAGTGAAGCGAGTTGATGATGTTTCTGGACACATGATGGAACTGGAAGAAACCCAAACAGGTGCCATCTGTAGAAGAACCCAACTAAGGTGTCACTTCGGAAAGAGGAGATCAAAAGTTTTTGGCGACACGGGCGACTCCAGTGTCAATGTGCTGAAAACAAAAACGCTGAGGAGTTTAACCGTCGTGTTCTGCTTCCTGCATCCTCTACCCTGGCACCACTGCTCGTCTGAATAATCCAAAAATGTTCCTGTTGTAGTGAAGAAGTCTGACTGGGTCAAGCTTGTGCTGCGTTGGTCATATCTAAAACTTCAAACTTGGGTCTAGACATCTTCAGGAGCTCAGGTGTGAAAACAGCTATTGAGAGAGAAACTGCATTTACTTAATTAATTAGGTGCATATATAGATGGTGATACAATTCAGTCTTATGACGCCAGTGCATTTGTAACTAAAGTCAGTTTCATCGAGACCTGATGATGCGTCTTCACTCAGCAAAAAGATTATTGACAAAATACCAAAAATGTCAAAAGAACTTTTAACGTGCACAACCTTTAAGGCAGGACCAGGGGAAATATTTAAGTGCAAATGAGGAAGGAGAGATTAAAGCAGATTCAACATGAGCTCCAATATTATTAACTTTTCCTCTGCCTATGTTTACATGTCTTCCCTGGTCCTGAAAGGCCACTTCATCCAGATCAAGGTCCTAGGTCATCGTGAAAAGGCTCGACTGTATTTCACTGTACTCGACTGAAAAGCATCAGTGTTCAGGTCTACTGAAATCTACAGGCTCTCATTTAAAGCAGGAGGTGAACTTCCCCTAAGATTCCTA